TGCCTTATATAGTATGTGACTGTCAAGGTAATTCAGAAGCTTATATATTATTTGAAAAATTTACCATATTCCATTTTAGCATATTCAGATCTTGGCTTGATTCAGAAATATTAAAAGGAAGAAGTGTATTTGTATACAAAAAATAATTTTTAGTTTTATTTATTTATTTTTTTTGAAGTCCATGTATCTTTTTTTATTAATTAATTTTTGTTACCGATGTTTCTCCTTTTCCCCCCACTGATTCCCCCCTCCCCCTCCCTCCCTGCCCTGTCCCCAGCTTTGTTGTCCATGTCCATTGTTCATGCACACATGCATATAAGTTCTGTGGTTTATCTCTCCCCCATCACCCCCTCTTCTGGGGATTGTCATTCTGTACCCCACTTCCACATCTCTGGAACTACCCCATTCCTCAGACTGCTATGTTCATTATATTCCACAAATAAGTGAGATCATATGATACTAGTCTTTCTCTGTTTGGCTTGTTTTGCTTAGGATGATACTTTACTTTTTTTTAATCCTATGTTTTCATTGATTTTTAGAGAGACAGGAAGCAAGAGCAAGAGAGACAGAGACAGAGAGACAGAGACAGACATCAGTCATTTTTCTCCCATAGATGCCCAAAAGGGAAATGGACCCACAACCTAAATATGTGCCCTCACCTGGCATCAAACCTGCAGCCTTTGGTGTGCGGGACGACACTCCAACTGAGCCACCCAGCCAGTGCTAAAAAGGAATTTTTTTATTGCATACGTCAGAATATGGGGGAGTAGTGATTAATTTATGGGAGAAACTTAGGAGAAAATTCATTAATGTTTATGAGGATTTACCAATTTGCAAACAAATATAGCATTTTAAACTAAAATTTAGTTTTAACCTTTAAAAATCTTTAAAGGTACTGCTTTCAGAAAATATTTTCTGTTCTCATTAAACTACTTAAAGTATTCTGTTCCTGCCAAATCCCATTATGATGCATTTAATTACTCGCAGAAACTCTACATAGTTGTTTGCAAACTTAAATGCAAACCCAGTGTGTTTTGTGGGTTCCCTGAGATCTCTAATAATGTCAGAGCCCTGGATACTGTGACTTGTGGAGTCATTTACCGAAGCCTCTTCAGTATTCCCTTCTAGAGAAGCTGTCTTGGCAACGTAATGTGAATGTATTTGACTGTTTTTCTTAGAAGAATAGAGGTTTATGTAAGTTTGAACATTCTCTTTTTTTGTTAATTTTTATTTTGTTTTATTATTTTATTTTATTTTTTTTAATTTTTTTTATCCTCACCCGAGGACATTTTTCCATTTTTTGTACAGATAGAGTGGGAGGGAGAGAGAGAAAGGGAGAGAGAAAGAAACATCGACGTGAAGGGACACATCGAGTGGCTGCCACCGCACGACCAACCAGGGCCGGGGACAAACTGCAACCGAAGTACGTGCCCCCAGCGGGAATCGAACCCGGGTCTCTCCGGACTGCAGGCCGATGCTCTAACCGCTGAGCCAAACTGGCCAGGGCTGTTTTATTATTTTTTAATTAATTAATTAATTTTTGTTACAGATGTTTCTCCTTTCTCCCCCACTGATTCCCCTCTCTCCCTCCCTCCCCACCCTGTCCCCAGCTTTGTTGTCCATGTCCATTGTTCTTGCAAACATGCATATAAGTTCTGTGGTTTATCTCTCCCCCACCACCCCCTCTTCTGGGGATTATCAGTCTGTACCCCACTTCCACGTCTCTGGGACTACCCCATTCCTCAGACTGTTACGTAGTTTGAACATTCCTAACAGGTTGATGAATAGCAGAAGGACAGAGATCAACTGATTTTTCTCTCCTAACTTAATGAAGATTATAACCCTTTTGGAATTTTAATTGGAACTTAGATGTCAGGATGCATGCATACACCTAGTTTGTATATAACTCTTTTCTCCTGTGTAGATGATGACCTTCTTAAGAACAAGGCCTGGCTCATATCAGGACCTTGTGTACCATATTCTGTTTATTGTGGTTAATGATTATGTAAGTGTCATTCCTTCGCGTAAACCTCAGGGATTTAGAGCCTATAACTGCCGTTTTGTTCCCCTTGGTGGAGAGTACCTCTGGTCATGTGCTCAGTCAGAGAAGGGGTTCTCTGCACCAGGATAAATCATAACTAACTGAGCCAATCAAGATGAGTCTCCTCTAATTCCCAGGTTCTATTAGTCATGCATTTGTGAAGTGCTGCTAGCCAGAGAGACATTGAAGGAAGTCTGATAGGTTTCTGGGAGAAACAAAAATTACCTTGCTCTTATATACAGATACGGGAGAAGAAAAGTCTCTTAGTGCTTCTGGATGTGGTCTTTCATTCTGCCTATTGATACCTGGAACACCAGTAGCCACATTGGGGGATCATGAAGTGAGCCTACATAAAAAGAAAATGAACATACAGGTTTCCCTGCTATCCAAAACCTTTCATAAGCCCACATGGTATAAAGCGAAGAAGCAGTTGCCATTAATGTATATGGAAAAATTGTGAACGTTCCCAGACCCCCAAAATAACCTACTAAATCATAGCAAATACACTTAATTACTTCCAGTTTTATCCTACACATACATGTAAAACCCTTATGGGCTCTTATAGGTTTTTCTGATACCTTAGGACTCATCTTGCTAAGCTTTCACAAAATAACTCAACTTGAAGCACAGATGCTCACAGACACAATTCAAAGCTGTGGAGGGTTGCTGCTGAGTGCTGAGTGTGGTTCTCGGGGAAGGAGCCTGGAGATGCCACACTCGCCTCTGGGGCTGAGCACTGCCTCTATGGACTGGCTGAAAAACAAATGCTGAGTGCTAATTTCATCTTTTGTTTTTTAATTTATTTTTGAGAGAGAGAGAGAAAGAGATATTTATTGTTCTACTTATTTATGCATTAATTGGTTGATTCTTGTATGTGCCCTGACGGGGAATCGAACCTTGGTATATCGGGATGACACTCTAACCAACTGAGTGAGCTGCCTGGGCTCACTTTTCACCTTTTTCATTAAGGTGAAAATCCTCTTTGGATTTCCTTTGGTTAGCAAAAACAGGTGCTAATGTAGGTCTTTCATAAAAGTGAAGTAGCATAACCTGAACTTTCAAAAAGTGGGGGATACCAGCAAAGAGGCCAGATGGCAAGATGCATGGAGCAAGGACTTTTGAACTGCTGGATCAGTCAACCCCAATAGAAGATTTCATTCTCTTTAGCCTACCTGAAAAGTTCAGCAGAATAAAACCTCTTTAATAAAACCTCTTTAATGGCTGTTAAAACGAAAGGAATTCTGTGTATTGATTAAGTGCTGTCAAAGAACAGATTAGAGTAGTATCTGCCATCCAGCACCCGCCCTCCTTTTCCATTCAGACATCCTGGCCTCAGGATAGGAGACTTGGATCTAGTTGAGTAAATGAATGTAGTTTGCAATCAGGCTTCATGAACTAATAGGTGATTTGTGCAGGTGTCTATTGTTTCTATTCCAAGAGAATCAAGAAATTGTGGTGGTCTGAAGACATCATCCTTGATGGATGCATTGTTAATTATAAAAGCTTACTCCATGATGAGAGCTCAGACCTGATTGTCCATCAGGGTTAAGTGCATTTTGGGATGGATCTTCTCCCCATGGCTGTTTTATTGGGGTACACTTGCTTAGTCTTATTATTAACGTTTTGGGCCAGATAATTATTTATTTTACAGGGCTGTCATGTGCATTTTAGGATGTATAGCAGCATCCCTTGCCTCAACCCACTAGATGCCATTAGTGACCCCCATTGTCACAACCAAAAATGTCTTCAGAAATAGCCAAATATCCCTTGGGAGGCGAGATTTCCCCCACCCCCTTGCCTTGTGAACCACTGTGTTAGAGAAAAGGATTATTTCTTATAGGTGCATGTGTCCTAAGACTCCAGGAGGAGAGCAGGGAAGTTCTGCTTGCCATCATTTTAACTAGAGTGAGAAAAATTCAGTGAATTAGTAAATTCTTCAAATTATTCTTTTCAAATATACAAAGAATTTCTAACTTTCTATATTTGAGAAATGTTTTGAGCCCAAATATAGTTACTATTTAAACTCTTCACTCTTAAAAATGAGCAAACTAAAAAAGTAAAGTTAGAATTATATTTTTTAAATCCCCAAATATTAAATAATCACAAATTTAACAAACAGCCTCTAATATAATGTAAACTGTCTTTTTTGTGAGGTTTCATTTTTTGATGTTCATAGAATAAGCCAGGAATTCGGACTTTGTTTGAACCTAGGAAAAACCTGCATGGAAAGACAATTCATATATGAAAAGAATACCGTTTGAATAAAATTGTATGAATGGGGCAAGTTGATTGGTTCCAATTTTAGTTTTAAAAATATTTTTTTATTGATTTTTTTTTTTAAAGAGAGAGAGTAGAAGGGAGAGAGAGAGTTGGAAATACCGATGTAAGAGAGATATATTTATTGGCTACCTCCTGTACGTCCCCAATCGACTGGCTAGGTAGGTACATGAACTAATACATGAGTTCTATTTCCCCTGACAGCTAGAACAACAATGAGTATTAAAGTGGTTAGGCAGCTTTTCAATCTATCCAGAACTAGGAAAGAAACTCTAGGCTCTAAAAAAAAAATCTTATTTATTGCTTTAGAGTGTATTCAAATTGTTGTATACCATGAGTCATTACTTAGTAGCTTCTTGGCCAATAGGATTTCAGTATGTTGTGCACTAACATAAACTCTTGGATTGGCTTAACTACCTCTGATGTCACAATTTACCCATTAGGAAGTCATAATTTTCTTGAACTCACATTGTACTAACAAAAACTCTTATTTCATTGTAAGAAAGATAATCTACCCAAAATAAAAATACTGGAAGGAACAAGAAGATATCTTTGATCCATGCAGACCATTTCCATTAACGTGCTTTAATTATCATCTGTTAACAATTGAAGCCAGATATTTTACTTTCTTTTGTAATTGATGTTTTGTTTTTCATTTTTTGTCAGTTAATAGGCAAATGGAGGAATGAGCCTACTTAGAATTACTCCTTCAACTCATAGTTCTGTTTCATCTAGACTATTGAGGCTTAGCATCTTTCTGCTGCTTAGCCTTCCTGACTCAAAAGGAAAAGCCATTTGGACAGCCCACCTGAATATAACATTTCAGGTGGGAAATCGCATTATATCAGAATTAGGAGAGAGTGGAGTGTTCGGGAATCATTCTCCTCTGGAAAGAGTGTCTGGTGCAGTGGTACTTCCTGAAGGATGGAATCTGAATGCTTGTAATTCTATGACCAATTTCAGCAGGCCTCAACAGTCAGACTCTTGGTTGGCCCTCATTGAACGGGGAGGCTGTACTTTTACCCATAAAATCAATGTGGCAGCAGAGAAGGGAGCAAATGGTGTGATCATCTATAACTATCCAGGTACGGGCAACAAAGTATTTCCCATGTCCCACCAGGGAACTGGAAATACAGTCGCAGTGATGATAGGCAACTTGAAAGGCATGGAACTTTTGCACTTGCTCCAGAAAGGAGTCTATGTGACGATCATCATTGAAGTGGGGAGAATATACATGCCGTGGCTGAGCTATTACGTCATGTCTCTGTTTACCTTCCTGGCTCCCACGGTTGCCTACCTGTTCTTGTACTGTGCCTGTAGACCTCGAGTGCCCAATTCTTCTACCAGGAGGCGAAGACAGAAGGCAAATGTGAAGAAAGCAATTGCTCAGCTTCGACTGCGAGTGCTCAGAGAAGGGGATATGGAACTAGATCCAAGTGAACACAGCTGTGTTGTTTGTTTTGACACATACAAACCCCAAGATGTAGTACGTATTTTAACTTGCAGACATTTTTTCCATAAGGCCTGCATTGACCCTTGGCTTTTAGCCCATAGGACATGCCCCATGTGCAAGTGTGACATTCTGAAAACTTAAGAAACCCAGAGAAATTTCTGAGGCTGTAACCAAGTCCTTTCAAAGATAAAATTAGATGGATTCTTTTAGCACTGTTTGTAGAGAGAAAATTCAACTCCAGCTTCTCTACCCAAGTACTGAAAAGGGTGAGATTTGGGTGTTTTTAAAATAAAACTCCATATCATGCCCACCTATTTGACCTTGTTGTTTTTCTAATAAGTTTTAGTTGTTATACGTTTGCTCTTATTTACATAAGGACATTATGTAAAAGCAAATTAGTCTTTATCTTCCAATTACTGTGACAAACTTAATCATAATATTTTTAAGTTTTTTATATTTTTATATATTATATTTTACTATTTGATATCTAATATTTTTGCTCAATAAACTTTATTATACAATTAGATCCTGATTTAATGCTCCATTATTAATTGTATTAATAACCCAGGAATCTGGTTTCCAAAGTTACTAACTGGGTAAGTAGTATGTTCTAAATAATTATTTTGGATTATAGCACTTTTGGTTGTGTAACTAAAACTATTTTAAATTATTATAGGTCTCATTTGGGGCAGCAGTGCAAAAAAATCACCGTAGTTTAGTGGAACGCTTTAAATCCTACCCCAGTGAATCAGCTATGGTTATCAGATTTCCCTTCTAGTAAGTGCTTTTCTTCTCAAAATAGTGGTGAATGTCTCTCTTTGATAATGTAGAAAGGGTAGAGCTGAAATTTTCAGTTGCCTTTCCAAATTGTATATTATGCTTTACTTTGTCTCTTCCTCTTTCAAATATATAAATAAACCCCTGTGGAACTGTGAGAGGCTGAAAGATTTGGGTTACATTTTTTTTTATGAAAATCTCTATGGACAATATTCTAAACTTCTGATGTCCAACTCAGATGACACTTTGTGAGTCCACCCACTGTGTACTACACTGTCTTTTTAAAGAGTAGATTGTATGGAAATACAGTCCGATTAATGGACTTTGGTAAAGAAATTTGACCATAATAAGCTGAAGATTTTATGTCGATATTCTCTTATGCCACTTTTTGGAGGGCCCATAGGGCCCTTTTCTCCTTTCTCTTTCCTGCCTCAAGTAATCATGGTGTTGATTAACATTTCATAAGAAGTACTAGCATCCATTATCCTAGTGAGACCCAGCTAAGTGTCTCTTGACATCCTGTGCATAGAGATCAGAGACATTTATGTTGAAGGTCAGAATCCTTCACTGGTTTCCCTGCTGGTGAATAAGAACCACTGAGATATAACCCCAAGAAAGTGTAAGGCAGCATCAGTGACTGCTCATGTTTGTTAGTTCACAGGTCATTCTTTGGCTTCAAAGTCATATTGTGCCATTGACATAAGTGTAGGTAAAATATAGTCAGAACTGACAGTGTGTATGTGAGTTCTTCCTCCAGAGATGTTTGTTGATTTTGGCAAACATTTTGTTAGAAGCATCTATGACCTTTGATAGTTACTGCTGTCAGTGATTAATTTTAAGTGGGGACCTTTAAGCTTTTCTTTTTAAAATCAGTAGCTACATTTTTGTTTACAGTGAGTTGAGAAATGAGATCAATGTTTCTGTCTTGACTACTGTCATGCCTGTGTATGACCAAGAGTGAGGAAGTGAGGCTGGTGTGATTTAACAGGATGAGCTACTTTTAAATCTCAAATCCTAACCAAACAAACTCCTGAGCAAGCTTTTATTAAGTACATTTAGTACAGTGGTTTACATGATAAATAAAAAGTTTACATTGTGATAAAATGTGAGTTAAAAATGGTTTTACATAATTCATCATTTTTACCACATATTTGTCTCAGTGCTAAGTTTTAATTATTTTGTTAAAACTTGCCATTTTGTAGAAAATTTTTTGTTTTGTTTTTTGGTTTGTTTTTAGTTTCATGTGTGGGTTTCTTTCTTTTCTTTTTTTTTTAATTAGTCTCTCTCTCTCTCTCTCTTTTTTTTTTTTTTTTGGTATGTGCCCCTAGTGGGAACCAAACCCGGGACTCTCTGGTCCGCAGGCCGATGCTCCAACTGCTAAGCCAAACTGGCCAGGGCTAGAAAATATTTTTGGAGAAAAATTACAGTTATATGACTTTCTTGTATATGCATATCCTTTCAGCTTTTAAAATGCATGCGTTGTATGAATTTTATATTTAAGTTTGTTTAATTGTGATACCTGCTGACATTACATGTCACTCAGGCATGGAATCCATTTTATAACAAGTTAGAAATCACCCATAACAGCATTTGAAGCATTCAAACCAATACACTTCACAGGATGCTCTAAGCTCTTATCTAATTGGCTGTTGCCTTTTATGTCATAATCATATCACCCAACAGTAAGCAGCATCTAGAGTTACAGTACTGAGACTAGGGTTTTTTTCCCCAATGTAAAGTTTTTCTCTCTCTGCCTCTAATAAAACATCTGAAACTCCTACGACGTCTTCAAGGATTTCTCATAAAAACATGCTAGGAGGCAGTGGAACTTGTTTTCACCCAGAAGATAGTTTTCATTTTGTTATTTTAAATTGATTGCCAACAGATGTGGAAGCCATATCTTTTCCTTGGATTGGTCCTTTGGTTACTAGGCAGGGAGAGATGAATCTACTCCAGATTAGCACCCAAAGAAACAACACGACATCTTCCTGGCTTGTGAAATTCAGTATTCTTTGGCTTCTTAGTCAGAACTGCTGCAAAGCCAGTGCTGTTTGGACTGCTTACATGAACATATCATTTCATGCTGGGAATCGCATGCTGTCAGAGTTGGGGGAAACTGGAGTATTTGGAAGAAGCTCTGCTTTGAAGAGAGTGGCAGGAGTTATTGTGCAGCCAGATGGAAAAACGCAAAATGCCTGTAATCCCAGTACCAGTTTCAGCAGACCAAAGAACTCAGAGACGTGGCTTGCACTTATTGAACGGGGAGGTTGTCCCTTCACACAGAAAATTAAGGTGGCTGTTGAGAAGGGAGCCAGTGGAGTGATCATCTATAACTTTCCAGGAACTGGCAATCAGGTTTTCCCCATGTCTCATCAGGCATTTGAAGACATAGTTGTAGTGATGATTGGTAACTTAAAAGGCATGGAGATTTTGCATTTAATTCGGAAGGGAATTCACGTAACAGTCATGATTGAGGTGGGGAGAAAACACATCATATGGATGAATCACTATTTTGTCTCATTTTTGATTGTCACAACCGCCACTTTTGCGTATTTCATCTTTTATCATATTCGAAGACTGTGGGTAGCAAGGATTCAGAGCAGGAGATGGCTGAGATTGGCGACAGATCTCAAGTTAGCATTTGGCCAGCTCCAACTTCGGGTACTGAAAGAAGGGGATGAGGAAGTTAGTCCAAACGGAGATAGTTGCGTAGTTTGCTTTGAACTCTACAAGCCTAAAGACACAATTCGTATTCTGACTTGTAAACATTTTTTCCACAAGAATTGCATTGACCCCTGGATTCTAACCCATGGAACATGCCCTATGTGCAAATGTGACATTCTTAATGCTTTGGGAATTCAAGTGGATGTTGAAGATGGAACACAACCGTTGCAAGTTCTGATGTCAAATGAATGGCCTGGTATTTTATCACCTAGTGAAGAGGGGACAAATAATGAACTTTCTCCTGCAAGACAGTCAGATAAAGTGACCGACGTGGAAGAGGTGGAGGAGCACCCTACTTCTCAAAATGACAGCCAGCCTAACTCAGGAGAAGATGTTCATCCTTCACCTTGATAGCATGACCTTTGAGGAGATGGATTAAACCTGTTTGTCAAATCAGGTTCTAGTATTGACAAGCAGTTAGTTTGAAGTGTGGTATTTGTGTCCTTTTTGTTACTTTGGTAATTTTCTAACATTGTTTGTCCAGCCTTAAAGACAGAAAAAGGAAAAAAAGGCCTTGCAGGAATTTTTTTTTTTTAATCTTTGCTAAATGTAATTTTTTGTCAGTGTATGTTACTCCCGTGAGTATATATCTTTATTTCTATGTACACATGCATGTTAAAACCAAGGATAAACTTTTTTTCCCTAGGTTTTTTTTTTTTTTTGTATATATATATACTGCATATAAAAAATATATAGACTATATTTTAGTAAGACAATTGGTAATATTTGTGCATGTTCCTTATATCCAAAAACTATCAATTAAGTTTGAAAAAAACATTATCTTTGATGTGCTAGGAAGAGTTAAATTTATCTTTTTATATTTATAGTACAGTAAATGTCCATTGTGCTGTGCTTTTTTTATTCTTGGCATGAAAATGTTGCTGTATAGAATTTTATTCTTACTCTGTTCATTGTATGGGATCTGCAATTTTAAAAGGAAAATAGTAGCACTCTATAAGGAACCAGCAAATATTTCAGTGCCCAGTATTTCTTATCATGATTGTTACATGTTCATAGTGTGCAGAAAGGCTTAAATGGCAAAGAATTCCTATAATGTTTAGTTATCGTGTATTTACTTTCTGTATGTTCTGTACTACCCAGTTTATTTTGTTATTTTTGCCATTAAATAAAATACTTAAAATGTGCTAGATTATTTTGGAGATAAATATCACAATGTAGAAGTTTATTATGACATCTTGGGATTCTGCTCATTTTCTTCACTGTGTTTCCAGGAATATAGCACAGAAGTGGGCACTTAAATATGCTTGAGCGAATGAATAATGATAAATATCTTTTTTCTTTTAAATCTTTATTCTTGTATGTATTACAGATGTTCCTCATTTTTCCCCCCATTAACCCCCTCCTCCCCTTCCCACCCCCCTCCCACCTTTTCCCACACTATTGTCTGTGTCCATTGGTTATGCATGTAAGTTCTTTGGTTTATTTCTTTCCACCCCCCAACCCCTTTCCCTTTGAGGTTTGTCAGTCTAGCAATGAATTTGTACTTCTTAATCCCTTCACCTTTTTCACTCATTCCCCAACCCTCCTCCCATCTGGCAACCAACAAAATGTTCTCTGTATCTATGAGAATGTTTTCGTTCTGCCTGTTTATTTTGTTTGTAGATTCCATTGTCAATAGA